AGCCCAGAACATCGCTCCAGTGGTGGATTAAATGGCGATTATTGGGGTATATATATGGTGTTGTGTTAAGGCCTTCGTCATACACGAGTCAATTGACTATCTTATTTGAGTAAGACTTAAATTCACAGGGATGTACAGATCGACGACGCATAATTCTGTCACTCAGGTCATAGTGGGCTCATCATTATTGGAACATTGAGTAATATTTGTTCACAGATACATGAGTACCCAAACAAGTAAACCATCGAACATGAACATGCATAAAAAGTATGTAGGAAAATTTCGTCACCACCGAATAGGCTAGAGCATTAAGTGCTCACCCAGAAATACCCCCAATTATTCCTCCACCAATCCTTGAAGCTACCCTAACATCCCACACAGCAAGCAGACATTTATCATTGGCGTGGTGATCGTAAGTCTGAAGCTTAGGTGCTCCTTTCAACCTTGCTTGCTCGCCTGTCCGCCATTATTTCCCTGCTTCTCCTTCTTCTTCTGCAATTTCTCATTCTTCTTCTGCAATTTCTCCATCTTCGCACGCAACCTCTGACTTTCCTGTTGTGCCGCTGTTGTCGCGTTAATTAAACCAGCGACATCATACACGGATCTTGTCTCTGATTCATATGCTTGGGCCAACTTTGCACCCAGTTCGTTTTTTTCTTTGGAATATTGTAAGTATTCCGCTTCCCAGTTTTGTTGCTGCTGAGACATATTGTTATTAGATACTTTTTAGTTGTTCAGAGGTAGTCTGGAGGAGTCGGTGATTGTTTGGCTGATTGAGATGTCTTAAGTTTGGGAAGGGAACTAGTAGATGAAGATTGGGTTTTCGTGGGTTACCATGCATTAAATACCTTTTTTGAAGTGAGTTTGTGCGAGCGAAGGACTTGTACGTAGATTCTTCATCGAGATGAATTAATTCCATTGTGAGTTTGGATTTACATTCAAGAGTATGCATAATCTTCCAGCGCACAATAGAATTATTATATCAATTTTGCATTTTTACCTACATTGAATGAAAAAATGTAATATGTGGCATAAGGCGAGAGCGGAATACATGGACTTGGGTTACTGGAGGTTGCACAAATGTTACAATGCACAATATCGAAAATGAATATTACATAGAATACGTTGCAAATCTTGAAAGTATATAGTTCAGCAACGACTCTTGTGTCACCTGTATGCATCACCCTACAGCTTGACTTCAGGTGTAAAGGAACATGAAGATGATTTTTACATTGAATCCACCTTCATCCTTACGCATGTGCGAGATTTCGTAGATATGCATTCAATGCTGCATAGGCTCACATACAAAAATATCGCTCGCTCGTAATCGTAGTGTCATAATAGTGCTTCTGGAATTTGCATGCATGAGACTAAATTTGCATTATGGTCGATCAGCATTCAGAACTCAATTAATTTAATCTAACACTAAATCGACATCGTGAATTATCCACACGAATTATCTAACTAACACAGAAGTTGACGCCCTAAAAAGGCGTCAATAAAATCTCTGGGCCTCAAAATATCTCGAATATCGAGGTTCGCACACCACAATATCATGTCTTATGCATCATTTTTGCTCAGACGAGCATACTGTCTTCCCCTCCAATGTCTATAGTAATCAATGTAAGCCTCGTCAAGGTGTTCTCCTAAATGGTCAAGCAGCCCCTCCATTGCTTCGGCTTTACGCCTTTCAGTATGTGGCTCAAGCCTTCTTGTGAGCGCATCCACAAATTCCAATTCCCCCAACACACTCGTACCTGTGTCCCATCCCCACCATGCTATTGGTGTCAGAGAATAATTATGCCGCCTATAGCCTGGGTAGTAGGAGTTGATCCCTGTGGAGAAAAAGACGCTGTCTATGCCTTCTTCCACAATACATTCCATACCATTGCGTATGTCCGGAATATCTTTCCGCTCATCAGTCGGTACCCAATCCCCTTTCCCCTTTACCGAAAAACGTGATCTTTTCTCTATATCAAACACCAACATCAGTATCAGTATCAATGGGGGATAGCAATACGTACTCACCACCCTCCAACGCCTCCCTCCCTTCCATCCTCCTCCTCTCCTCCGCCTCAACCCCCTCCATCCGTCTTCTCCACTCCTCATTCCTTGCATCCGTCCGCTCCTTCACAAGTTTTTCTTCCCTTAGCCTCTCCTTCGCTATCTCGTGATTAGCATCCAGCCCCTCCCTCCCCTGTAACACCTCTGGACGAGTGGAATTTGCATTTTGGAATGGATCCCCTTCCCCTTTCTTCTTTCCAAGTCTTAAGCCCCGTTGTCTTAACCTTTCCTTCGCTATCGCGATGACTTCTAATTTCTTTCTCCGCGCAATCGCATCTGGGTCTGGGGCTGTGGCTGTGGGTTCGGGATCGCCGGTTTGAGGCCGGGAGGGGGGTTTGGCTAGGATAAATGGATATCGGTCCATGATGGTGGTTTCGGGTTGATGTTGTTTCTTTGTGTTAATCCCGATGTGCAGTAGATGCATGTCGTTAGACTCTGGCACTGGTCGTTAGGGAAGAAGGTAGTCTCGTGGGGGAAAGGGGGGCAGAGTGAGCCGGGAAAGGTAGTACCCTAAGTGCGCAAAGGGTAAGTGAAGTTGGCCAGTAGCCATTAAAAATAGAAGTGAAACTAGAAACAGCGAGAGGAGAAAGAGTTTAGATTTTCTTACCTGAATAGGCAGCGGCTTTGCAACAATACCTTAGGGCTTAAAATTCCGTGCGGCCACCGCACCCCTCAAAAAAAACCCATTTGGGGGCCAACTTGAAAAAGAGTCTAAATTCAAGGGCCAAAGGATGCTGAAATTCCATATTTTCTTCAAACATTCATATTCCATCCACATCCTGCATCAAAAATTTACTCCTCCTCCGTGAATCGAACCGGTGGTAGCAGCCACCGACATAGCTAGGGCCGGAAAAAGAATAGTCCCTTCGACCGGAGTCGAACCGGTGACCAATGGATGATCTGAAACGTCTATTACAGTCCAGTGTGATACCAACTACACCACAAAGGGATGGTTATATCGCAGCAAATTCAATTTTGGCCTTGCACCTTTTGCCAGTTATCGGTGAGGTAGGTTGTCCGCTCCACGGTAAGGGTATGTATAGTGTATGTAGTATTTCGTTTCATATGAATGAATATATGAATATGTCATCATAAATTAAATGCAATGGCCTTGTATTTGAAGTCCCTTTCAGTATGCAGAAATTGTTGTGATTATTAGCACGTATTCATTAGGTGATGCCCTACTTGATCATAATTCATAACATATTTCCATGATGCGAGAAATCTATATCCTTTAATTGAATATGTATAAATTAAACCCAAAACCGGTATCATTATTTATTTAATTGAGAATTATTGTTCTTGATGATTGGCCATTCATATGGTTAACGTTCTAGATCTCAAAAAGACAAACTCAACTTAGTTATTTCAATAATTTCCTGTTCCGGAGATCAGTGTTGATATTCTTCAAGCAAGATTATATAATTGTAATGCAACTGCAACCTCTTAATCGAATCCAGTAAACGTCTTGGTAAATTGTTCATTGAAATATTCATTAACCGATTTATTGTCGCAATAAAATTAGCTAGAAAAAGGAACCATGGAGTTTACTTAATACCTATGTGTACATCAGACGAACTGCAATTAACTTGCCTCCAAAATTGCCTTATCACACCCAACATGAACGCCATTACCTCGTAGTTTCATGCCCAGCCCCTCCTCCGCAAAAAAGGTTCTGGAGTATATACCTACTTTGTACTACAATTAGGTCGCATATCATCCAACATTATTCTTCCATGGAGGTTTCGTCTTGACTTGATCTCCTCCAGTCGTCAAAATAAACTCTAGCGTCAATCGCAATCATTATCCCAAGCTCAACAATTTCCAAGATTAATTATCCGCAATTGCGCAGGCCTAGACCTTGACTGTCATCAATTCAAGAACCGAGCGTCGTCGAAATGAAACTGCGCACCGAATTTTTCCTATCTCGAGGTTGTCCAATAACCCCATATTGAGGTTAGTTAGCACGATCCGCAACGAAGGAAAACATGCGGGGATATCCTAAACATCACCTTATTAAAATCATGCTGTCAATTTAAAATCTAGAGCCGAATGCAAGCTTGAGCTTTATCGCTATCCAAAATGCCCCGACATAGCGTCGCGGCGGTTAGCAATTTAAGACTCAAGTGTCGTTGAAATAAACTCCGCACCGGCTTCTTCCTAGCTTGAAGTCGTCCAATATTCCCAGATTGAGGTTAGCATGATCTGCACAAAGATAAGGGGAACGTGCGGGGATATCCTGTAGGCGCTCCCTTGCGTTAGCGAATTGCCGTCAATTTAAGAACTGCATGTCGTCCAAATAAACTATCCAACCGATCCTACACCATCTTCCCTAGAATGTGGACGTCCTCAATTGCCGGATTGCGGTTAGCCCCATGAACGTGCGGGACAACCAGGCTAGTGCGGGGATATCATCTCGGCTTATATTAGCCGGTCGTCGTCAAAATAACCTCCCTCGCCTTTCCCCCCCCCCCAGCTTACGACGTCCGCATTTACCGAATTGCGCTTAGCCTGCAAGATCTACACCAAGGGGAACGTGCGGGGGTGAACCTAACCCCTCAAGGTTGTACTGCCGGATCGGCAAATCTACCAACATAAGCCAGCGAAAAAAATTGCGAATGCGATATGCGGCCGAGTGCACGGGAACCTCCATGAGAACAGTGGGAACCGACCCTCGGCAAGGGATATGCGATTGGAAATTCCTTGACCACGATTCCTCTTTGAATTTTCCTATTATCGTTTCCTCCTCTTGGTCTCCGTTTGATGGCCGAGTACGAGCCATCAGTAAACATTTATCCATCACATATATCATGATAAAAGGAAATTTTGTGCAACCCAATGTATTGCCAATGCGAAATCGACTATAATCGATTATAATATGAAAAGAAGAACTCGATACCAATCTTGGAATCAAAATTAAAATGCAAAAGAATGAGTTCCGTCACCGGGAATTGAACCCGGGTTCTCAGAGCGCACATCTTCGTATGAAGAGTGAGAGTCTGAAATGCTAGCCACTACACCATGACGGATGTTTCATGTCAATACGGGTGAGTTGACGGCCATGACACGCGGCTGGCTGCGAAATTCCCGGCCACGGCAACTCGTGGACTTCGGAAGCTGGGGATGGGATGAGTGCGGGCACGTTCATTGTTTCTCAAGGGCGATTCTCGGGAATACTGCGGCCTGAGTGATCTCTTAATTGAGAGCAACGGAGAGTCTATAACTTGGGGGAGGGCATAACTTGGGTTAGCTTAGACGATTAGGAGGCACATGCGGAGATAAATATGATTGCATCGGAGGATCTTGACGACTCGTACACTGATGGCGGAGATTTAGTACTTGCTGTTTGCAAGCCTGAAAGGTTTGATTCATGTTCCCTTTGTGGTCACACTTATCTTTGGAAATCAATGATGATAATGGCTTTTGCGCGCGTGGAGGGGACGATATTAACTATAAATACCTTTCAGCATAGCCATTGATTTGTGAAAATTCTGACCTTACCTTACCTAAGTATTGATGGGAATCTGAGGATTTTCCTGCAACATCCTTGCCCATATGATTGATATGCGCACACATATAGCTATGGTTCAAGTGTCGCCTTTCTTCTTTTGTATCGCAGTATCATAGAATCACACAATTCATCCCAATTCAGTCTTGCTCGCGCAGTGAGCCCCTCTCACACATTCAGTGCCCCTTTATCCCGCCCCCACTCTCCTCTGTTCTCGTGCCCAGACTCTTCTCTTGACTCGACGTGAATGGCCCACCATGCGAGCGAGTGTGCCGATGACGCAACCCCTGGCAGATTACCTCGGCGAACTTCAGGCTGGGTGTTGCGATGCAGCTGGCGGGGAATGTGACTACCGCTGGCGGCACAGGTCGGCGACTGGGGGTGAGTGAATATTGAAACGTTGGGCGAAAGATTTGTTTCTGCACGGGATATGGCGTGCTCCGGGGAATTGTGAGGGGTTTTTGTACGTCAACGCGGGTGGGTGGTGGGGGTGGGAAATGAGAGGTGGAAGGGCGCGCCGACTGCGGAGATGAGGTGGAATTGTATAGCTGAGGGAAGCGAGGGGAGGGGGTCAAGATCATAGCCTCGTCTCTGTCGGAATTCCTGCGCCTTGTCTTGGTGGGGGCTCGGTTGTTGATTGTATGTAGTCTTGTGATTGTATGTGGAAAATGCGAATCTGAAAGTGGTAAAGGTACAAAGCCGAATCCGGAAGTGGAGATCCCCAGCCGCGCATCGTTGGCAAGGAAGGTGTAGAAGGGAGTCGCTTGTGGTGACCAAAGGTAACGATGTCATTTGGCAGGTATCTCCGGCCATAAATAGGAAATGGAAGCTCTGTAAAAAGTTAGTTTGATATCGGGATCCGTTGCATCGCAGTGGAAAGGTGTACCCCCCATATTTCGGTATTGGAGAAAGATTTTCTTGACTACACGTTGTTCATTCCTGGCTAGTGATCGAGTGGGTATACCGTAGAAACTCGCGGATAAGAATGCTGTCTTATGATAAAGACAAACACAAAATATATCAAAAAGTACTGTCTTACTCAGAGATACTGTCTTATTGGCGGGTTAACAAATCAATTAATATTGCACTATTTTGGGCTTACTTTGGTGTTCGCTGTGAATGTCTTATTCATAAGCATCCTTATCAAGATAATACTTTTGGCATATATTACCTTCTTATTCACAGATACTGTCTTGCCTTACGTACCTTCTTATACGCGAATTATTACGGTAGCTTCATAAACGGCATGTGAGCGGAGGAACTGCCAGCATGTACACTTTGGATGAGATGGTGAGACTTGACGGTCGCTGAGATAGTGGTCGTGAGCGGATGTGATCTCAATCCTGAGAGATTGATTAGCGATGCTGAAGTAATGATCAAACACGTTGCGGAATAACCTAGTAATGGTAATGTGTTAACTTGAAGATAAAAGGGTGTGACGGAGTAGACGGAGTAGACGGAGTAGACGGAGTAGACGGAGTAGACGGGATGGGGGGTGGGGAAGGTGTGGAAGGTTGGGGGTGACTGAATGAGGTTGTCGCTTAGTGCGGCAGTGTCACAGGTGGCAGATGACAGGTGGCGGGTAACGGTTAGCTGGTACACATGGTGACAGGCGAAAGTTACCACATTAGTAAGTAAAGTCTGTAATTAGATCATAATGGTAGGTTCAGGGAACTCAACCTAAACGACACGACATACACCGAGAATCAACTAAAATCAAACACAGCTCCTCGCATCTATTCTGAAAAATCCCAATTGCAGCTGACTATGGACATGACTGCTATCACTTTATGGGGTATGTGAAGACTTTCTGCTGGAATCGCAATTGGTTGATGATATTCATGTGGTTAGTTACAAAGGTCTGCGTACATACAAAGTAGCTAGAGTACAATCAATTCAGCTGGAGGAAATGGGTAATGAAAGGGTGGAGCATGAGGTCTGTTGGTAGTGAAATATCCTCCGCAAGGAACCCCCGACTCTTTCTACCTCTTCTACTCGCGTTTTCTAGCGAGATAGTGTTTTTCCCATGGATGGAGAACCTTCGTCTGTCTGCTCTCTTGAGATGCTAACTAAAAGACTCTTCCGAACGCCATTTTGCCTTCAGCTATTTCCTTCTGAGCTTGCCCTATTCCCCCTTCTGAAACGAAAGGAGACCTTTGTAAGGTGCAGCCTGCTTAAGTCGTCAATGATCGGTGTGATATATAAGGATGGTCGTGTAGTTGTTGGATTGGATTCCATTTCCTTGTACCTCCATGAATTAGTGCATAGTGTTTCATTCGGCCAATGCGGCTATTCTGTTGCTACTTGCTCCTGCGTATCTCAAGCTTGCAATGTGAAGCTTCTCCCTTTGCGGGAGTCCAAGGTCCAAGTCTGGGCACGGAAACAGTCCAAGGCTAGGTGGGAGTATCTTGGGAACTTTGGCCTGCTTGACACGTTAATACTAGGCCTGAAATATATAAATAGGTAGTCGTGCAGATGTTGAATTCCATTACCTTCTTGTAAAACCATGACAATCAAGGGACCATCTCGAAAGATGTTCGCTGGTCGCTAAAGCGGTATCCATCTTGATTGTCTGCTTTCTTGATCTTGCGCTCCTGCTCTATCAACGTGATAGACAGTATGGCCTGGTTGGGTCGTTAATACTAGGCCTGATATAAATGAATGGGCAGTCCTGCAGATGTTGAATTGTATTACTTTGCTATAGAGATCTGGGTTGACCCATGAAGTCTGAGGGGTTTCGGTAGCTCCAGAGACTAGTGCTAGAGGCTGTCTATTATCCGATCCCCAAAAAGGTCGGATGAGGGAATATGACGTTGCCCTGTGAGTTGATACTAGGGCTTCCCCTTTCTTCCGCACCGGCTTTTCGCAGAATTTGACAAGGTGTGGTTGCATCTCAAAGGTGAATTGGAGAAGGAATCGCCTTGTGGAAAATCAAGTCAGTCGAGGACAAGATGCAATAGTTCTGGAGATTACTTGTAAAATTTCCCGCGGGCGCCGAACCGGTTGCTCATGCGTAAGAAGGCCGGGAGTCGGAATTTCTCTGGAGAGTGATGATGTTTTGATCAGGGTTGTCATTGGACTGGTGAGCCTAGGTTCAGTCCCCCATTTTCGTGCTGGGGGTGCGGAGGTCACATTGTTTCTTCTGCGTGCCGTGAATAGCCTAAAGTGCTAGGATTAACCTGTTAGCATGGTCCAGGGAGAGCATTTTGAAAGGTGTATATTTTCTAGGGATGTAGGAGTTGTTATTGTACGTATTCGGTTCAGGGGGGTGGTGGTGCCTTTACCGATCAGAAATAGCCGACCTTCAGGGCGTATATTGAAGGAATCACGGCGGAAAGTGTGTGCAAAGTTAGGTTCATCGTGATATAACAACTTCCTGGAGTCCTGCTCGCAAAGCTGATGTTTCTTGGGGCTTTGTGATGAGGTTTGACTGTCTGACTTGGGTGTAAGTATGTCGTCCCTGGCAGTTTGCTAAGTGATCGTGCGAGGAGTGCTGGTTGGGGGACGTCAAAGTTAGAAAGCACTGGAGGAAGGGGCGGTTAGCGGGGCTTTTATAGTACTAAACAGTTCTTGAACAACCGTAGGAGGTGATGGGTGTCCAGGGAGAGGGTGGATGTTTTGTTTGCTGTGTCGGCAAACAATTGAACTGCCGCCTGGCTTGTGCCAAGGCATTCTCTGCATGTTGTTTCCACCCAAACGGGTAGAAAACCGTTTCCGCAATGCTTTTTCATGGTTGTGAGAGCCAGACAAATTGGGAATCACTGACAATATTCCCAAAGATCCCCCATGTTTAATTGAAAGCATCGCCCTGTACAAAAAGACTGTACTTTCAAAATTCAGCGCAGCATTCAAACATCAGTGCCGTTTCCCCTACCAGAAACCTAACCTCTCAACATCGCTCTCAATCCGACAACTGGCCGTAGACCGCACCGCGCCCCCGGGATCCTCAACAACACAATTCCGAATTTCATCACACACCTATCCTGTTATCTCCACCCCAGAGGACTTCATCTTTAAATGGAAGATATGTGTGGTATTGGAGGCTCTGCGGATTTAAGCTGATCAATCGCAGGAACCTCTTCGGGATTTGAATGAAATCGTTCTGAAATAAGAACTACTAAACAGATACCGAAAGGAGCGTGACGAGGGCCAAGGAAATACCAATGAAGTTCAATGAGCGTGGTAAGTAGCAGTGTGAACCGTCATTCATAGACTTACCTTTCTATTTCCAAATGTTTGGATCGACAATGATCCCTCTGATGACCTCCGATATGCTTTTCTCCCGGTAATTCTTGCCAGCACCGGTCAATCACACACAAACCTAGGCCATGTTACGGAACATTCTCCGGTTTTACCTCTTCCAAACCATTTACAGCACAATAGACTTTGGGCGGAAGAGTATACACAGTGCGGAGAATACGCCTCAATAAGGAAGGAAATCAGAAAGGAGAGGAATGTCACGATGGCGCTGATTTCTTTGCAGGTTGTTCTCTGAAGATAGATGATAGGTAAGCGGACGAC